CATGACTTGTTTTACAAACATTACATCTCCCATTACAGACATGACTTGTTTTACAAACATTACATCTCATATTACAGACATGACTTGTTTTACAAACATTACATCTTACATTACAGACATGACTTGTATTACAAACATTACATCTCACATTACAGACATGATGTGTTTTACAAACAGTACATATCACATTACAGACATGACTTGTTTTACAAACATTACATCTCCCATTAGACATGACTTGTATTACAAACAGTACATCTCACATTACAGACATGACTTGTATTAAAAAAGGAAATCTCAACATTACAGATATGACTAGTTTTACAAACATTACAGACATGATTTGTATTACAAACATTGTATCTAACATAGACATGACTTGTATTACAAACATTACATCTCACATTACAGACATGACTTGTGTTACAAACATTACATCTCGCATTACAGACATGACTTGTGTTACAAACATTTTGCACTTTCAAATATGATAGGTAGAAGCTTGAAACTTTCAAGCCAATGCAGACTGTATTGTGAAAATGGTCTCATTCATATTCAAATTACAACTGTGTGTATGAGCACTGTTATTTTTGAAATGAACATTGCATTCTTTGTTTGATAGTAAATTTATGGACAAAAAGTTTCTGTTGTGGACCAGCTTCCACCCATCTGTGTTATTTGTTAGGTCAATGGATCCATAGGTGACCTTTGTCAGAACATCGCAACTGTAGATGGCGCACAACTTTATCAATTTTGCACGAAACTTGACTGACATTGCACATAACTTTGTAGCATCTTTCCTGACTTTGCACGTAGTATTACGGATATTGCATGTAACTTAAAGGACTCAACACTTAATTGTACCGAATTTGAATGCATCTTTCCTGACTTTGCACGTAATATTACGGATATTGCATGTAACTTAAAGGACTCAACACTTAATTGTACCGAATTTGAATGCATCTTTCCTGACTTTGCACGTAGTATTACGGATATTGCATGTAACTTAAAGGACTCAACACTTAATTGTACCGAATTTGAATGCATCTTTCCTGACTTTGCACGTAGTATTACGGATATTGCATGTAACTTAATGGACTCAACACTTAATTGTACCGAATTTGAATGCATCTTTCCTGACTTTGTACATAACTTCACAGGCGTTGCATGTAGTATGACTGGCAAACCCTCTGCATAACTTTACCTACATTGCACTCAACTTTTATGACATGTATAAAAAATAAATTTAATTTAACATATATCAATTTACTTAGCAGTTCGGTTGCTCAATGGCCTTAATGGTGCCTGATTACCCACTTGCATTGAAAGATAGCGGAAAACAACCTTGACATTTGACCAGAGAAATTTTGAATAAAGTTTATTTCACTCTATTCATTCAATAATGGATGAGCATAGAGTTAGTGTGTAAGTCATTAGGTTTAATATGGAGGTACAGATTAAGGTATGAAGCTGAATTCATTCTATCTATTGTGTCTTTGATAGCAAGTTCTTTATGATAAATCAAAAACTCATGAGATCATCAATGTATCTATACGTGTGTTATTAAAGATTTCAGTAAACTTCTTTTTCATTGATTTTAATGAGAGATTGTATAAACAGAAATTGTTATTGAAATTATAACATCTTTGTTCAAAGGTAGTATCATATGTTTTGATATTTTTCAAAATCCACAATGATTAATCCAACTAGTTTTATAAAGTGTCACAATATCGATCAAGAGTAATCTTTATATTTGTTAATACTATTGTTAATAATTGCAATAACCGCTTGGTTGTACATTGACTTGACGTTGCTAAAAAACCTTGTTTATAAGGTGACTAGACAATGTGATTGGTTGATTTTCTAATCCAAACTAGACAATGTTATTGGTTGAAACATAACTTGAAGGGAACACGACAATGTTTCACAAGGCAATACAGAACTCAACAAACAATTAAAATCAGCAATTTTATTTTCATACATCTTGTAAAAAAAAAATTCCATTTAGCAAATGTACAAAATGATTTAAAATAGAAATTTTATAAAGTAGAACAAAGAAACAATTTTCAAATAAAATGCCAACAAATTCATTTGACTTCATTATATTTTTGACAAAAACAATATGTACAAATTTATAATGTATGAATACTAATTAATCATTTCATGATTATTAAAAACAATAAAAATATGGCAGTAGTCCTTATTTAAGACTTACGTCAGTGTATCTCACACTCCTTAGGCGAGTGTTGATAAATAGCCTTAGGTGAAAGCACCTTTAAGATGCTAGATAATTTTGTATTGAGAGGCAGCAGTGTACTTAGAAATTAATTATGAATCATATACAAGAGATTAGCACCCCTAGTTACACAATATTGAACAAATCTGTACCCCCTAAATTGACAGAAATTCACCGGTAACTGTGTATGACCATGTTCAATATTGCAACCATGAATTCAAAGTGATTTCTGATAACCTTTCAGCTCTTCTACTCATGTTCACTTTTTCTTCAAGTTCTTCTATCTTTTCAGATAAACTTTGGTAACTCTCACGTCTGCCACTTGGCAACAGTTCCTGAAACTAGAAAATAATTCATTGTTCAAATGCTAATATGCATGCATCATATTAATTTGTATGGGGATGAAACCAACCAGTGTAACCAACCCACTGACTAGGAAACAGAACCCTCTTCAACCAGTGTAACCAACCCACTGACTAGGAAACAGAACCCTCTTCAACCAGTGTAACCAACCCACTGACTAGGAAACAGAACCCTCTTCAACCAGTGTAACCAACCCACTGACTAGGAAACAGAACCCTCTTCAACCAGTGTAACCAACCCACTGACTAGGAAACAGAACCCTCTTCAACCAGTGTAACCAACCCACTGACTAGGAAACAGAACCCTCTTCAACCAGTGTAACCAACCCACTGACTAGGAAACAGAACCCTCTTCAACCAGTGTAACCAACCCACTGACTAGGAAACAGAACCCTCTTCAACCAGTGTAACCAACCCACTGACTAGGAAACAGAACCCTCTTCAACCAGTGTAACCAACCCACTGACTAGGAAACAGAACCCTCTTCAACCAGTGTAACCAACCCACTGACTAGGAAACAGAACCCTCAACCAGTGTAACCAACCTACTGACTAGGAAACAGAACCCTCTTCAACAAGTGTAACCAACCCACTGACTAGGAAACAGAACCCTCTTCAACCAGTGTAACCAACCCACTGACTAGGAAACAGAACCCTCTTCAACCAGTGTAACCAACCTACTGACTAGGAAACAGAACCCTCTTCAACCAGTGTAACCAACCCACTGACTAGGAAACAGAACCCTCTTCAACCAGTGTAACCAACCTACTGACTAGGAAACAGAACCCTCTTCAACCAGTGTAACCAACCTACTGACTAGGAAACAGAACCCTCTTCAACCAGTGTAAACAATCCACTGGCTTGGGAATTGAAACCTCTTCAACCAGTGTAAACAATCCACTGGCTTGGGAATTGAAACCCTCTTCAACCAGTGTAGAACAACCTACTGACTTGGGAATTGAAACCCCCTTCAACCAGTGTAGAACAACCTACTGACTAGGGAATGGAACCCTCTTCAACCAGTGTAAACAATCCACTTACTAGGGAATGGAACCCTCTTCAACCAGTGTAAACAATCCACTGGCTTGGGGAATTGAAACCTCTTCAACTAGTGTAAACAATCCACTGGCTTGGGAATTGAAACCCTCTTCAACCAGTGTAGAACAACCTACTGACTTGGGAATGGAACCCTCTTCAACCAGTGTAAACAATCCACTGGCTTGGGAATTGATACCCTCTTCAACCAGTGTAGAACAACCTACTGACTAGGGAATGGAACCCTCTTCAACCAGTGTAAACAATCCACTTACTAGGGAATGGAACCCTCTTCAACCAGTGTAAACAATCCACTGGCTTGGGGAATTGAAACCTCTTCAACTAGTGTAAACAATCCACTGGCTTGGGAATTGAAACCCTCTTCAACCAGTGTAGAACAACCTACTGACTTGGGAATTGAAACTCTCTTCAACCATTGTAGAACAACCTACTGACTTGGGAATGGAACCCTCTTCAACCAGTGTAAACAATCCACTGGCTTGGGAATTGATACCCTCTTCAACCAGTGTAGAACAACCTACTGACTAGGGAATGGAACCCTCTTTAACCAGTGTAAATAATCCACTGGCTTGGGAATTGAAACCCTCTTCAACCAGTGTAGAACAACCTACTGACTTGGGAATTGAAACCCTCTTCAACCAGTGCAGAACAATCTACTGACTTGGGAATGGAACCCTCTTCAACCAATGTAAACAATCCACTGACTTGGGGATGAAACCGTCTTCAACCAGTGTAGAACAACCTACTGACTAGGGAATGGAACCCTCTTCAACCAGTGTAAACAATCCACTGGCTTGGGAATTGAAACCTCTTCAACCAGTATAAACAATCCACTAGCTTGGGGATGAAACCCTCTTCAACAAGTGTAAACAATCCACTGGCTTGGGAATTGAAACCCTCTTCAACAAGTGTAAACAATCCACTGGGTTGGGGATGAAACCCTTTTCAACCAGTGTAGAACAACCTACTGACTTGGGGATGAAACTCTCTTCAACCAGGATAGAACAACCTACTGACTAGGGAATGGAACCCTCTTCAACCAGTGTAAACAATCCACTGGCTTGGGGATTGAAACCTCTTCAACCAGTGTAAACAATCCACTGGCTTGGGAATTGAAACCTTCTTCAACCAGTGTAGAACAACCTACTGACTAGGGAATGGAACCCTCTTCAACCAGTGTAAACAATCCACTGACTTGGGGATGAAACCCTCTTCAACCAGTGTAGAACAACCTACTGACTTGGGAATTGAAATCCTCTTCAACCAGTGTAGAACAACCTACTGACTTGGGAATGGAACCCTCTTCAACCAGTGTAAACAATCCACTGACTTGGGGATGAAACCCTCTTCAACCAGTGTAGAACAACCTACTGACTTGGGAATTGAACCCTCTTCAACCAGTGTAAACAATCCACTGACTTGGGGATGAAACCATCTTCAACCAGTGTAGAACAACCTACTAACTAGGGAATGGAACCCTCTTCAACCATTGTAAACAATCCACTGACTTGGGGATGAAACCCTCTTCAACCAGTGTAGAACAACCTACTGACTTGGGAATGGAACCCTCTTCAACCAGTGTAAACAATCCACTGACTTGGGGATGAAACCCTCTTCAACCAGTGTAGAACAACCTACTGACTTGGGAATTGAACCCTCTTCAACCAGTGTAAACAATCCACTGACTTGGGGATGAAACCATCTTCAACCAGTGTAGAACAACCTACTGACTAGGGAATGGAACCCTCTTCAACCAGTGTAAACAATCCACTGACTTGGGGATGAAACCCTCTTCAACCAGTGTAGAACAACCTACTGACTAGGGAATGGAACCCTCTTCAACCAGTGTAAACAATCCACTGGCTTGGGAATTGAAACCTCTTCAACCAGTGTAAACAATCCACTGGCTTGGGAAATGAAACCCTCTTCAACCAATGTAGAACAACCTACTGACTTGGGAATTGAAACCCTCTTCAACCAGTGTAGAACAACCTACTGACTTGGGAATGGAACCCTCTTCAACCAGTGTAAACAATCCACTGGCTTGGGAATTGAAACCCTCTTCAACCAGTGTAAACAATCCACTGACTAGGGGATGAAACCCTCTTCAAGAAGTGTAAACAATCCACTGGCTTGGAAATTGAAACCCTCTTCAACAAGTGTAAACAATCCACTGGCTTGGGGATGAAACCCTCTTCAACCAGTGTAGAACAACCTATTGACTAGGGAATGGAACCCTCTTCAACCAGTGTAAACAATCCACTGACTTGGGGATGAAACCCTCTTCAACCAGTGTAAACAATCCACTGACTTGGGGATGAAACCCTCTTCAACAATTGTAGAACAACCTACTGACTAGGGAATGGAACCTCTTCAACCAGTGTAAACAATCCACTGACTTGGGGATGAAACCCTCTTCAACCAGTGTAGAACAACCTACTGACTAGGGAATGGAACCCTCTTCAACCAGTGTAAACAATCCACTGGCTTGGGGATGAAACCCTCTTCAACCAGTGTAAACAATCCACTGACTTGGGGATGAAACCCTTTTAAACCAGTGTAAACAATCCACTGGCTTGGGGATGAAACCCTCTTCAACAAGTGTAAACAATCCACTGGCTTGGGGAAGAAACCCTTTTCAACCAGTGTAGAACAACCTACTGACTTGGGGATGAAACTCTCTTCAACCAGTGTAGAACAACCTACTGACTTGGGGATGAAACTCTCTTCAACCAGTGTAGAACAACCTACTGACTAGGGAATGGAACCCTCTTCAACCAGTATAAACAATCCACTGGCTTGGGAATTGAAACCTCTTCAACAAGTGTAAACAATCCACTGGCTTGGGGATGAAACCCTCTTCAACCAGTGTAGAACAACCTACTGACTTGGGGATGAAACTCTCTTCAACCAGTGTAGAACAACCTACTGACTAGGGAATGGAACCCTCTTCAACCAGTATAAACAATCCACTTACTAGGGAATGGAACCCTCTTCAACCAGTGTAAACAATCCACTGGCTTGGGAATTGAAACCTCTTCAACCTGTGTAAACAATCCACTGACTTGGAGATGAAACCCTCTTCAACAAGTGTAAACAATCCACTGGCTTGGAGACTGAAACCTCTTCAACCAGTGTAAAACAACCCACTGACTTGGGAATGGAACCCTCTTCAACCAGTGTAAACAATCCACTGGCTTGGAGACTGAAACCTCTTCAACCAGTGTAAAACAATCCACTGACTTGGGGATGAAACCCTTTTAAACCAGTGTAAACAATCCACTGGCTTGGGAATGGAACCCTCTTCAACCAGTGTAAAACAATCCACTGACATGGGAATGGAACCCTCTTCAACAAGTGTAGAACAATCTACTGACTAGGGAATGGAATCCTTTTCACAATCCACTGAATTCAGGATGGAAACCTCTTCAACCAGTGTGAACAGTCCACTGGCTTGGGGATGGAACCCTCTTCAATCAGTGTAAACAAACTCCTGAAATATGCAACTGATCTGGTTTTATGATGTACAATTTACTTTTCTATGACTGTTTCTAAATAATAACCATTTTCTCAAAATAATACTTGCTTTGAAATGTGTCTAGGCACTATTGACAAAAGTGACATAATTTGGTAGTTAAATTTAAAAATATTTTGCCATTGTCAAAATCACTAAACCATAACACAGCAATTCAGATTTGTGAACAAAAAACTATTAGAACTTACCCTAACATCTGTATGTGGCTCATTTAACCATTTCTGTAACTGACTGTCATAACTAGAAACAAATAAATTAAAATATAACTAAACAGAAATACCATGACATTATGTTGCTCACTGCTGGCACAAAAATTGCAGACAATGATTCAATACAAAACAGTCAAATATTTATTAAATTGTTGGTACTTTATATGTTATATGAATCTGAAACTAATCAAACAGAGTGTTTAAGGAGAATATTGAAGATATATGGCAAGACCATGTTAGAAATGAGAGCTACTAACCAGGACTGGGATGGAGTAACTATAGTAATGAAGATGAGATGGAAATTTATTTGGCACACAGGGTTTAACAAGTATATGTAACACAGTATTGACATGGTCCCCAGAAGGGAAAAGAGTATGGGGTAGACCCAAAACAACTTGGCGATGCATCATTGAGAAGGAAAGAACCATGGCTGGATGGAAGTTGTGGGCGGAAGCCAGAGTTGCAGCAGCTGATAGGACAGAATGGAGACATTTGGTGGAGGCCCTATGTGCCACTTGGCATCTGCAGGATAGATAGATTGGTACTTTATATTATTTAGATACTCATTAAAATGATTCAAAACAAATTAATCTATTAGTACTTCTCAAATTATCAGTATATTTATTTATATATGTGGTTCAAAATTATTTACTATAGATACCCTAAGTTCTTGAATACTTTAATTTTGTTCAACAACACATAAAAGTACCAGCAGAAAAGTCACCCATGTGTAATTATTTTATTCATAATTTAAAAAAAAATAGAAACTGGTAATTAAATAATAAATGGTCATACCTGTCACTGTGTCTTTTTTCTTGTATCATTAACTGTTCAAGATCATTAACATTTTGAATAGTTTGTTCAAGTTTAGGATTACATATCTTTATATTACTGCTCTGTGTCAGTACTGCACTATCCTCCTCTTCCTCTGCATCACTAACATCAGCACTGAACAACAAACATATACAGTTTATTAAAAACATGCCAACTTTGAGATACACTACAACTGCCTAGACACATTCATTGTACAGCAGATTAAGCCAACCCTGGGCCCAGCGAGCACTGACAAGCATTACAACCACTGCCCAGGTGTATTCAAGGCAAGGCAGGTTATGCAAACTCTGGGACCAGCTTACATTGACAGGCATCACTACCATTACCTAGGCGCATTCAAGAGAAAGATTATGCCAACCCTCAACTTACTTATACAACTGCCTAGGCACATTCAAGAGAAAGGTTATGCCAACCCTCAACTTACTTCTACAACTGCCTAGGCGCATTCAAGAGAAAGCAAGTTATGCCAACCCTCAACTTACTTCTACAACTGCCTAGGCGCATTCAAGAGAAAGCAAGTAATGCCAACCCTCAACTTACTTCTACAACTGCCTAGGCGCATTCAAGAGAAAGCAAGTTATGCCAACCCTCAACTTACTTCTACAACTGCCTAGGCACATTCAAGAGAAAGCAAGTTATGCCAACCCTCAACTTACTTCTACAACTGCCTAGGCGCATTCAAGAGAAAGCAAGTAATGCCAACCCTCAACTTACTTCTACAACTGCCTAGGCGCATTCAAGAGAAAGCAAGTTATGCCAACCCTTGACTTACATGTACTTCTACAACTGCCTAGGCACATTCAAGAGAAAGCAAGTTATGCCAACCCTCAACTTACTTCTACAACTGCCTAGGCGCATTCAAGAGAAAGCAAGTTATGCCAACCCTCAACTTACTTCTACAACTGCCTAGGCGCATTCAAGAGAAAGCAAGTTATGCCAACCCTTGACTTACTTGCATTGATACCCAAGTTACATCTTATAAATCCTTGATAAAAGTCAATACTAACCATGGAGCGACATTTACAGTTGACAAGACAGGAGGACGATATCTATCACTTTTATCTTCATAATACACCCATATAATGTCTTTATGACCACATGTGAAAAATTAAAAAAAAAAAAAAAAATTTAGATTTAATAGGTATTTTCTTGTATGATGTTTCAATCATTGTATCTTGGTGTAGGGTTGAAATGCATAAAACACAAATAACAAATCAACATATTAAAAAAATTATTTCGTGTACTCATAGAAATGATATAAAGGCCTTTTATTTGAAAAAAAAACCCATATCTGAGTTGGCCAATGAACAAAGCTTACCTGCATATTTCACACTTTGTATCATGTAAGCAACACATGATTCAATTATTAGATTAAACGGAACATGTTTCCATAGAGACTGATCAAAAGAGGAGTCTAAGTAATCTGAATATTTATAATCTTCAAATGATCTCCTTAGCAACCATTTTACCCTGTAATATACAAGTAGATAGTTGAATCCAAATCTTTTTACTGACTTGGATTCAAAATATCTATGTTTTCAGAAAAGATACCAAAATGTTACAGCGGAAAACATTAAAAAAATTTCCATTTTGTTTTATGTAACTAAACATGATATTCCTATGGTGAGTCTACTTCTCAAAACTGACATGGGAAAACTGTCAACATGTTTTCTAAACCTAAATTATGGCAAACATTTGAAGCTATGACGTTTAGTTTAGTTATTTGCATAATGATATTGATACATTGTATGGAACATCTCGTGAGTATTTAGACTCAGTTCCAGGCCTAGCAGTTGAGCAATAAACACCTTGGCTGCAAGTGCTCCTCTCCAGTGTGTTATTCTCCTCCCGGATTTGGTGACCAATACTCACTTGGTTCACTCTACCTTGAGAAGTCTGTTCTCAGTTTACATGGACATTTGAATTCTGAGTTTGATATCATCAATTTTATACAGGTAATGGGACAATAATCCAATCATCTGTAAAGTTTAGATCATGATTAGCTCATCGTTGTATTGTAACTACCTTGAATAAAGTGCAGTCTTATCCTGTCCTGGGCGTTTAGGTAGATTATCAATATAGCGTAAAACTATGGTGAAAACATCATTCCAGGAATCTATAACAAATCAGAATTGAATGTGTTTAAAGAGCAGAAGCTTCTAAGAACACCCACACTTGAATAAAATGTTGAATAAAATTTCTTACACAATATTGTTATAAGCTGGAATGTTTAGGCGTTGACTGGAAGATTTGTTGGAAAAAAAATGGTAGGCTGGACACCAAAAAAAAATACAAATTGCATGTAGAGTGCTACATGTACAAGAGAAAATAATTTGCACACTCAAGAAAAATAAAAATGTACAGATAAGACTGCAAAAAAAATGCATTGGTCTCACTTTTTCAGCCACCCTCTCCCATAATTTTGAAATAATGAACCCTTAAATTTACAATTTCGTTTTTTGTCACTGTCCTTTCACAGCATGCACAGAGCAAGGCATGCTACTGAGGAGAGTTATCGCTCTACTCACCTGTCACTCTCCAATTATCAGAGCATGCTATTGAGGAGAGTTATCACTTTACTCGCCTATCACTCTCCAAATATACGGGCATGATATTGAGAGTTATCGCTCCATTCACCTATCACTCTCAAATTATCAGTGCATGCTATTGAGGAGAGTTATCGCTCCACTCACCTATCACTCTGCAAATATCGGGGCATGTCATTTGAAGAGAGTTATTACTCCACTCACCTATCACTTTCCAAATATCAGGGCATGCTATTGAAGAGAGTTATCACTCCACTCACATATCACTCTCCAAATATCAGGGCATGTCATTTGAAGAGAGTTATCACTCCACTCACATATCACTCTCCAAATATCAGGGCATGTCATTTGAAGAGAGTTATCACTCCACTCACCTATCACTCTGCAAATATCGGGGCATGTCATTTGAAGAGAGTTATTACTCCACTCACCTATCACTTTCCAAATATCAGGGCATGCTATTGAAGAGAGTTATCACTCCACTCACATATCACTCTCCAAATATCAGGGCACGTTATTTGAAGAGAGTTATCACTCCATTCACCTTTCACTCTCCAGATATCAGGGCATGCTATATGAAGAGAGTTATCACTCCACTCACGTATCACTCTCCAAATATCAGGGCATGTCATTTGAAGAGAGTTATCGCTCCACTCACCTATCATTCTCCAAATGGGCCATTCCAGTTTATATCTGCACCCCCCTGTTGGTGTGGTCGGATTTCCAGCAGTGTATGATGGGGAAAATACCCCTGAATTCCAACTGTATATGGAGAAACAGAATCTGGAAATCCAGACGGGTATGGAAACAAAATTCCTAGAAATCCAGGCAGTTATGGCTAATAAATAAAATATGGCATAGTTTATCTTGCCACATACCGGTTGATGAGGTTGGATTTCCAACAGTATGACTAAAAAAACTTGGAATTCTGACTGTATATGGTAAAAAAATTGGGCCAGTATGAAATAGTTATAACTGAAATTAGATAAGGATGGTGGCACGAATGAGCTCATCAACACCGTGAATCAGGACTAGTTTGGATTTCCATTATCAAATATAAAATTTTGAACTTAGTAAATTAGCATATGATGAGAGTTATATTTGGAAATCCTACTCTGTATGGTGGCACAATAAGTAGGAACACCATAAGTAGGAACTATAGTTTTGGATTTCCATTACTGTATGGTGAATGACGATTTGGAAATAAAACTTTGTATGACTTATACACCCATGGAAATTATACCCTGTATGAAGTAAACACACAAGCTCATCACAGGGG